GCCACGTGACAGGGCAATGTCTGTCAAGATGACACTTCGATTCTCAGAGATCGATTTTGGTCAAGTCGAGTGCAAAACCAAATTCTACGTCATGGTTTTGTTAGAAGCCAGTCTCATCACAGCTTAGTCTGTGCGAGTCTGTGGGTCTCTGTGTGAGTCTACGGGTCTCTGTTTGAGTCTATGGGTCTCTATGTGAGTCTACGGGTCTCCGTGCGAGTTTATGAGTCTCTGTGTGAGTCTACGGGTCTCTGTGTGAGTCTGTGGGTCTCTATGGGAGTCTACGGGTCTCTATGGGAGTCTACGGGTCTCTATGGGAGTCTATGGGTCTCTATGTGAGTCTGTGGGTCTCTATGTGAGTCTACGGGTCTCTGTGCGAGTCTATGGGTCTCTATGTGAGTCTACGGGTCTCTGTGTGAGTCTATGGATCTCTATGTGAGTCTACGGGTCTCTATGTGAGTCTACGGGTCTCTATGTGAGTCTACGTGTCTCTCTGTGATTCTACGGGTCTCTGTGTGAGTCTACGGGTCTCTGTGTGAGTCTGTGGGTCTCTATGGGAGTCCACGGGTCTCTATGGGAGTCTACGGGTCTCTATGGAAGTCTATGGGTCTCTGTGTGAGTCTACGGGTCTCTGTGTGAGTCTGTGGGTCTCTATGGGAGTCTATGGGTCTCTATGGGAGTCTACGGGTCTCTATGGAAGTCTATGGGTCTCTGTGTGAGTCTACGGGTCTCTATGTGAGTCTCTATGCGAGGATGAGGAGGGACACATAGACAGAGACAGCGAAGATTGAGACGCAGAGGGCCAGAAGGCGACGTAGGAAGGTAAAAGATTGGCAAGACACGAAGGGATTTCTACGCCGGGCTGATCCGGCAAAAAATGTCCGTGGCCAAGAAAAACACCGCGCGCTCCGCACTTCAAGTTGCCGAGTCAGTGCCCCCCCCCCCCCCCCCATTAGTTGATAGCCAACAGGCACACATGCAGGCAGGCATGCCGGGTTGGTAATCGTGACAGTAAGTGAGATGCACGCCGCACTGATATTGCATCAGGCTCCTCCTACGATCTGCTCAGAACTGAGGAGCAGCAAGCGAGGAACGGCGCGCTGGCAATGCCCCCACATGTTTTCATAAAGCGGGAGAGATAATGCCTCTAATGGGTGCACCACTAGCTCCCTCTCCCCTCTCATCTCACTCTACTCCCCCCTACAACGCTCTCTCATACCTCTCCCCTCGCTCCACTCCACACTCTCTTTTGCCTCTCATCTCACTTTTCTCCCCTCTACAACACTCACTCCTACCTCTCTCCTCTCATCTCGCTCCACTCCCCTCCCCGCACTCTCCTGCCTCTCCCCTCTCATCTCACTCCACTCCCCTCCACGCACTCTCCTGCCTCTCATCTCACTCCACTACCCTCCACGCACTCTCCTACCTCTCCCCTCTCACTCCACTCCCCTCCACGCGCTCTCCTGCCTCTCGTCTCACTCCACCGTCTCGCTCCACACAGACTCTGCTCCAAGTTGTTCTGTCACAAGACCGCAGCCAGCCCTTCCGCTCCGTGTGAGAGGTCACTCATTCCTCCTCTGCTGCCCCCCCCCTGCCCCCACGGTCTGGAATTCCCTTTGTTGTATGTTCGACACCGCGTAAATCAAAATCTCCATTTCCCCCCCCCCCCTACCCCACAGCCATCTGGGATGTCAGCTCCTTGCCCGTGTTGAAGTCCAGGCTCGAGGCCTTCCCCTCTGCGCCGACGACCCGACCTTCCCTCGCCCGGCAGAGCAAACGCGCGCCCGGCGGTTTCCGTACAGAATGTGCGTCCACGCTGAGTGGCGTTATCAAGGTGGTCAGGGGTGCGTCTCTCCCATGTTGGCCGGGTCATCCCGAAAGCAACGCAACACAAAACCCAAACGAGATTCGTCCCCCGCGTGAGTCGCGACTGTCGCTCTCGCGAGGGACATCGGTGCGGGTCTCGCTGATGATTACGCAGAAGCGGCAAGCGGCGTTTGCCAACCGTGCCACGCACAACCACACGCACGCCACCCCCCCCCTCCAATAGAGAAAGATTAGGACGGTTGGCTACGTGCGGCGTGAAATAAGTTCCACATACGTACACACACACGTACGTACGCAACGACACATCGAGTCCACTATTATCTGGGGTGATGGTTGGTTAGGTCAGGAGTGGCCCGGATAATCTGAAATGCCAAACGCACGTAAATTCGACTTAACAACAACAACAAACGTTTACAGCAAGCGGAATTGTGTGCGCGGGCGTGGAACGTGATCGTGGTTACATTGCTTAGATCGCGTAAATATAAATGTGTCGTTAAACCCGCCACCACCTGGCAATTCTGGATAATCGCCTAATGAGGCTTGGTGTTGTAATTACCCAGCGAAACGTCACGGCTACACGAATTGTAATCGTTGTTTGTGGGTTTAACTCTCCAACACAGCTTGCCAACTGAGTTGGCGCGTGGTAAGACCAGGATTGCTTCGCACGCGAATCACATCATCGCTGGCCTTTATCTCCCAGGCGGGACGGTCAACCCTCGGCCACGTGTGGTGACGGGAGGGCTGACGTGCTGTTGAGATAAACAAAATGAGCTTCATCTTCTTGGTTCTTTCGGTAAAGTCACGTAGAATGGAAATAATCAAATAATAAAAATAAAACATAATAAAATAATCCTCACGATGTTTCGGCCACAACGCAAGCAGCCGTCCTCAGGTGAAGACCAGGTCTGTCGAGAAGACAGAGTCTGAATGACTTCCCGACAGACCTGTTCTCCACCTGAGGACGGCTGCTTGCGTTGTGACCGAAACGTCGTGAGGATTATTTTATTATGTTTGATTTTTATTATTTTATTACTTCCCTTCTACGTGACTTTACCGAAAGAACCAAGAAGATGAATCCCTGCAGTCACGAAAGCTTTAAATCGAAAAATGAGCTTCATAGCTCATCGGATTCCTGCAGTGTGAATACATTTTCTGATCGGTGCTCCAACTCCAAGAGATCACAAGCGAGCCAGTGATGGTCGCTGGGCCACTCGGCCCCCCAGATGTGACCAAAACGCCAAGTGGCCAGCAACAACCGGCACTAACTACAACAGTTGCATTCAATAAAAGTTAAAACGCGTTGATTGAATTGGGCAAGATGATTATTGTAAGAGCTGGGAGGGTGGGTGGGGGGAGGGGTGTGGGGGGAGGGGTGTGGGGGGAACGGGACGACGGAGACGGAATTCCAAAGTTGGCCAGCGGAGAGGAGCAGAAAGAGAAGCTTTGTGACCCTGCAGTCTGGTGGGAGGGTGAGTTGCTGGGTGAGTGAGTGGATGGGTGAGTGGGTGGGTGAGTGAGTGGGTTGGTGGGTGAGTGAGTGGGTGGGTGAGTGAGTGAGTGGGTGGGTGGGTGGGTGAGTGGGTGAGTGGGTGAGTGGGTGAGTGAGTGGGTGAGTGAGTGAGTGGGTGGGTGGGTGGGTGAGTGAGTGGGTGAGTGGGTGGGTGGGTGGGTGAGTGGGTGGGTGAGTGGGTGAGTTGCTGGGTGAGTGAGTGGGTGGGTGAGTGGGTGGGTGAGTGGGTGAGTGGGTAGGTGGGTGAGTGAGTGGGTGGGTGGGTGAGTGGGTGGATGGGTGGGTGAGTGGGTGGATGTGTAGGTGGGTGTGTGGGTGGGTGGGTGTGTGGGTGGGTGTGTGGGTGGGTGGGTGGGTGTGTGGGTGGGTGAGTGGGTGGGTGAGTGGGTGGGTGAGTGGGTGGGTGAGTGGTTGGATGAGTGGGTGGTTGGGTAAGTTTCTGGTTGAGTGGGTGAGTGAGTGGTTGGGTGAGTTTCTGGTTGAGTGGGTGAGTGAGTGGTTGGGTGGGTGAGTCAGTTGCTGGGTGAGTTGCTGGGATTGCGAGTGAGTGAGTTGCTGAGTGATAGGTTGAGTGGTGAGTGAGTTTCTGAGTGATAGGTTGAGTGATTGGGTGAGTGGTTGAGTGAGTGAGTCACTTGCTGGGAGCGTGAGTGGGTGTACTGTTGTGACCTGCAGTTTGGTGGGTGAGTGAGAGGGTGAGTGAATGGGTGTGTTGTTGTGACATGCAGGGTGGTGGTTGTGTGAGTGTGTATGTGGGCGAGTGTGTGCACGAGTGGTTGGGTGAGTGGGTGTGTTGTTGTGACAGGAGCGGTGGTGTAGCGTTAGCGCGCTGCGCTATGAACCCGGCGACCCGAGTTCGATTCCCGCTCACAGCCAACACCCTGTGACGATTATCTGAAGCGGTCATGGGCCTCCCCTAGGTCGACTCAGCCTCAAATGAGTACCTGGTGCGGTGAGTAAACATCGCCACTGGGGAGACAAAAGCGGTCGGGCGTGGTTCTGGCCACCCACCCCCTCGTGTACCGTTCTGGCCTTTATAGGTGCTCGCTAACAGCACTTGCCCCTACAGTCTGTTAAGGCTACACGGGGGATCTTTGTCTTTGTTGTGACATGCAGGGCGGTGGTTGTGAGTGGATGTGTGGATGAATGTGTGAACGAGTGGGTGAGTGGATGTATGGGTGAGTGGATGTGTGGGTGAGTGTGTGAATGAGTGAGTGAATGAGTGAGTGAATGAGTGAGTGGACGAGTGAGTGGGTGGATGTATGGGTGAGTGGATGTGTGGGTGAGTGTGTGAATGAGTGAGTGAGTGAATGAGTGAGTGAATGAGTGAGTGAATGAATGAGTGGACGAGTGAGTGGGTGGTTGGGTGTGTGAATGAGTGAGTGGATGTGTGAGTGAGTGTGTGAGCGAGTGGGTGGTTGGGTGAGTGGGTGAATGAGTGAGTGGACGAGTGAGTGGGTGGTTGGGTGAGTGGGTGTGTTGGTGAGTGTGTGAATGAGTGAGTGGACGAGTGAGTGGATGTGTGGGTGAGTGGATGTGTGGGTGAGTGTGTGAGCGAGTGGGTGGTTGGGTGAGTGGGTGAATGAGTGAGTGGACGAGTGAGTGGGTGGTTGGGTGAGTGGGTGGACGAGTGAGTGGACCGAGTCCTCGACAGAGGTGGAGGAGGAGTGACCACCGTGCCGAGTTCACTGGCACAGTAACCGCGGTGCCGTGATGACCCGGCACTCCCTGCTACTGTACTGTGTGTACACAAGCGTCCACGTGGTAGCAACAACAACAACACCCCCCCCCCCCATAGGACCCCGTGGATCTGCGTCCCACAAACTTCCTTGAAGCAGGAGGAGGAGGTCTCGTAGGGGTTGTCCACAACCATTCTGTTCCATGTATTAGAGCCCTGTGAGCCATTCGGCTCTAGAATCGGGTGCAACCGCCACAAATAACAAACATGAACAAGGAAACATCTTAAAAGGGACTATGATTAAAGTCGGTTGCCCTGCGGTATTTGACGGGGTCGACTGAACGAGCGACTCACGTGCAGCAGGCAAGAGGAAGATGCCCCCCCCCGTGTCACCTGTAGTAACACCGACGGTGTGCCACGTGGGGGGCGACTGCTGCTGTTAGCGGGCAGCACCTGGCAAGGACGCCCCGTGGCACACGAGGGGTGGTGGGTGGGTGGCAAACACGCCCGGCCGCCTTTGTCTCCCAGACTGGCGATGTTTACTACGCAACGCAACAGGTTACTCAGTTTGAGGCTGAGTCGACCTAGGAGAGGCCAGGGGCGGTTCAGATAATCGTCACCGGTGTTGGCCGTAGCGCAGCGCGCTAACCGCTGTACCACCGCTCCCCACATGCAACACACAACACACACGCCACACACAATATACCACATAACACACAACACCACACACTACACACAACATACCACACTACACACACAACACTACACACACCACACACACATCACACACCACACACACATCACACACACTACACACCACACACACACACACATGCCACACACACCACACATGCCACACACACTACACACACAACACACACCACACACACATCACACACCACACACACATCACACACCACAGACACATCACACACCACACACTACACACACTACACACATCACACACTACACACTACACACATCACACACACCACTCACATACTACACACACTACACACATCACACACACCACTCACATACTACACACACTACACACATCACACACACCTACTCACATACTACACACACTACACACATCACACACACCACTCACATACTACACACACAACACACACTACACACCACACAGACCACACACAACACACACTACACACACACCACACACTACACACACACCACACACTACACACACAACACACACACACCACACACACTACACTACACACACATCACACACACACCACACACACTACACTACACAACACACACTACACACACTACACTACACAACACACACTACACACACTACACACACAACACCACACACACTACACTACACACACATCACACACACACCACACACACTACACTACACAACACACACTACACACACTACACACACAACACACACTACACACACACCACACACTACACACACACCACACAACACACACTACACACACTACACACACAACACACACACCATACACCCACCACACACACTACACTACACACACATCACACACACACACCACACACACTACACAACACACACTACACACACACCACACACTACACACACTACACACACAACACACACACCATACACCCACCACACACACTACACTACACACACATCACACTACACAACACACACACACTACACAACACACTACACAACACACACACAACACACACTACACACACACACACACCACACAACACACACTACACAACACACACACAACACACACTACACACACACACACACCACACGAGT